AGAGCCTCGTGCCACCCCCACCCCCCTCCCCCAACCTCACTCAAACTAACCACCTACACCCCCAAAGCCAAAGCCAACTCTGGCCCTGACCCCCAACCAGATTCACCATAATATGTCATCCAATCTCTCTCATCCATATTTTTATACTAGGTTTTGTTCAATTTAGGAAGGGGTTTTACATAATATTTGTCTCAGGAAAGAAGCTTTTCTTAGACTTCCAACAAAGTACTGAGGTACTATATAATACATAATAGGCCTCAGGTCAAGTAAAGTGTGCACGCTCGCCCTCAGACTTTTCACATGTATAGGTATTTAATGGCTTCCACTCTAAATGATTCGGGTTTTACGTCGCTTTCAGGACTTTAAGTCTTTTACTGAAGTGGGACCTCGGAAATTATAGTCCATCTTCGATAGGAGGACCGAGCCTTAGTGAGTGTGTGTGTGTGTGTGTTGGGGGGGGGGGGGGGGGGAGCCACAATGACTCTTCACTCATCCCTAGTTCAAGAATGCTTCTTGGGGGTTCGAACCGAGGCCATCCGCACATTACATGTATTTATTTCAATAAGTACATCATTAATAAAAGCTCAAAGAGGGACCGTCTTCGCGACGGAAAGCTCTATAAATCCTGCATTTTAAAAATAAAAATAATGAAAGGTTCTCATGTCTGAGCACAAACATAGGAGGAGAACAAAAAAGAATAAAATGAAGATGAAAGATTCTAAAATAAGGGGGAAAATAACAAAGAAATAAACGAACAATCCAAACAAAACAAAATATTTTTTAAAAATCAAAATTTTGAAATAAAAACTTCATCTCAGAACAGTACATTAATCAAGGGAATCTTAATTGGCAAAGATAGGAACACGTCTAGAAGATACAGGTAGGAACAGGTAGGTACATGTAGTGAAATCAAACGGGTGAGCTTTTCATAGAATGGTGCCGAGAAAACAATTTCATAATTTCAAACTTTAAAATCAAACATGACGACTCACTTTAAGTGACTAAACACGTGGAATAATCTTGGAGATAATTCTAGAAAAAACGAAATGGTTTAGAAATGTTATAGTTTTTTCAGTTCAAATATAATATACACATAACAAATTCGAAGACCGCAAAGAAAGACCAAATTACACCTAGCAAATCCAAATATACAAATGACGTCATAAAAAGTCCTAATACAACAATAGCAAGTTCAAAATTGGATCTGAAAAAACTATATTATATAACTGACTTAGTGAAATCTAAAGCCGAGTTTACTTTTACTTACTTATTGTTGCATATTGATGTCTAGTTGCTTCAGTCCTATCTGAATTTCTTTCCGCGGGAGCATCCTCGGGATTTTTTAAAATGGTGATCTATTTACCTTAAAATTAAACTGCTTATGGTTGTCGTCAACTCAGTTTGAGCACATTAAAATACTTTTCACGCTGAATAATCTTTGCGGAGGATATTTGCTTTTGCTATATATGGCATTTGAACTTGCTATAGTGTTACATTTGGATTTGCTATTTGTACATTGGAACTTGTTACGCACAATCGTGCACTAAAATTTCCTATTGTATATTTGAACTTTTTATGGGGGGTGAAACTTTCTATGTGGCATTTGTATTTCTTATGTGTACATTTGATCTGAAAAACTATTTGTGGAGTGTGCTGACTAAATGAGTTATTTCTCGGAGTAGGGCCCTATGGGAATAGATACACCATGCTTATAAGTGAAGTTTTATAATTTGTAAGTGTGAAATAACAAAAGGCATTTACTACTTAATGAATATTGCATCAATGGCAAACCTACAAATTTGACGCAAGTGTCGATTTTTGGTCAATATCTCCATTTGTGGATTGTGAGAAGTAACTCATTTTGTCGGCACGCCTCGCACACACACACACACACACACACACACACACACACACACACACACACA